TTAACCATGAGGTCATCGGTTTGAAATCACCAGGTGCTTCTTGGGAGAAAGACAAGGCTTTGTACTCCCATAAAGAGTCATTTTCAGAAACCCACAGGGGCAGTTTTGGGGGAGGGGGTGTTTACAAAATCTGCTAGAAAGTAGAGAACATTTTACAAGGGAAAACCCTATAACTTACACAAAACAATACTTAAATTTGTATTAAGTCATCAAATCCTGGACCAAGCTAAAATACTCTTTTTCAGTCTTACGGTATGTTAAACCTAATGTAGCTTATTAATCTACTTGATAAGTTCTTCTCATTATTCTACCAACATCTAATTGGTATGCTCCTGTCCACCTTCTCTAAAGAATACTTGTAAATAGTAAAATAATAATCTACCTTTAAAAACCCTATGTAGAGAAAGATTTAAAATTTAGGAAACAATTTTCTGTCTTCATATTACTTTAAATAATTAATTATACATGCAATAGAAAATCATAATGCCTTTGATTAATATTTTTAGAAACACACTTAAAATATCATTAAATCTAATTGAGTATCAACATATACAGGGGAAAATCATTTAAAAATAAATTGCTTTTTATTATTTAATACTCATGTTTACATAATTTGTTATAGTCCAATGTTTATTTTTCCCTGTAGAATATTTTATTTAAAATTAATTTTCTGAAATTTTAGCATCTTATTTTTATATTAAGAAACTGTATCCTTAGCTCCATACTTTTACTCAATACAGACTTTATACCAATACCAAGAGCTAATAAATGTTGGATTATTACCTCAGGTTGTCTTCTGATTTCAGTAGCTAACAAGCCACTTACTAGTGCATTTTCTATTTATTAAAAACCCTGTAATCCTCATTAAAAAAGCACAGTTCAATTAAAAAATGAGCAAAGGACTTAAGGAGACATTTTTCCCAAGGAAGATTTACAACTGATCCAAATGCACATGGGAAGATGCTATTAATCATCAGAAAAATATAAATCGCAGCACCAGTAGGATACCACTTCTCCCCCAGTAGGATAGCTATTATCAGAAAAAAAGCAAAAATAACAAGGGTGTCAAGAATGTGGAGAGATTGGAAACCTCCCACATTGCTAGTGGGAACATAAATGGTGCAGCTGCTATGAAAACCAGTTTGTCCTCAAAAAGTTAGGCTAAGAAATACTATGTAAGCCAGTAATTCTAACCCTAGGTTTATGAGGGGGCTTTGAAAATCTGTGGATAAATTTCGTTTTCTTTTAACTTTTTCCACCCATTTTTTAAAATAGCCCTCGTGGCCCTGGGGTTTAGGTCTTGGGCTGCTTACAGTTCAACACCCCCTGCCTGACCCCCCTCCCCCAGCTGCTCTGAGGGAGAAAGATGAGGCTGTCTGGTCCTGTAAAGATTTCCAGTTTCAGAAAACCTATATATGGTCTCTGCGAGTCAGAATCTACTTGATGGCCATGGGTTTGGTAACTTTTGGTAGAAACCAAAGAATAAGAAGCAGTGATTCCAACAGGCTGATGTTTAGTCTTGGATGTTCATTGCAACATTGTTTCCAATGACTGAAATGTAGAAACCCACTGGAGTATGTCCATCGAAGAGTGGAAGAACCACCGCTATCCAGTTGATGCCAACTCACAGCAACCCAATCGGATGGAGTAGGATGCTCTAGAGAGTGTCCAAGGGTACAATCTCTGTAGAAGCGACTGCCACATCTTGCTTCTGTGGAGTGGCTGGGAGGGTTGAGTCGTACACTGAGACACGGTGTCCCAGGACTCCGTGGTACGTACTGCAACGGGCTCTCAGTTATACAGAGAAATGAAGTTCCAGTACAGGTTTTGACATGACTGGACCTCAGAGACATCAGGTTGAGTGCAATAAGTTAAACACAAAAGGACATGAGGTGACATGAAATACGGAGAATGAGCAAAAATGGAGAGACCAAGTTTATTCGTAGTCCCCGGAGGCTTGTGAGGTGGGGTGTGTGTGGGAGCGCTAATTGTCTAAGGGGTGCTGACTTTCTAGTTGGAGTGGAGAAAAACTTTCGGAAATAGTTGAATGTAACCCATTTCCCTAAATTGCTTACTTAAAAATGGCAAACGTTTTGGGTTTTTTTTTGTGTGTGGCTATTTTGCCACTAAGACATTTAAAACAAAATTTTAAAGAATTGCCACCCCCAGCTTACTTTGATTTTTATTCATTTGGAAGACTTAAGTTGTTAATGTGATTTCTGTATGCCAGAGTAGTAACATAGTATTGGTAAAGTTTTCCTTTCTTAAGCTTCTGTGCTTTTCTCTAAGCCTGCACTTATTTTTCCTTTAAAGGTGCCCAGCTGCTGATGAGGCCCTTGTTAAATAAGTATGAGAAAGAAACACTAGTGAATCAGAACTTATATCTTATCGGTGCTTCCAGTATTAGACTGCTACTGGGCGCCGAGGCCTTGGGCTTGGTGAAAGAATGCAATGATAACACCATGAGAGCCTTCACCTACGGAACCCGGCAGAACTTCAAAGATTTTGATGGTAAGTCTCTCTCTGAATCAGTTTATCACAAGAACGTTTTGACTACAGAGTCAGAGGTCAGCAAACTTCTCCAGGTAAAGGGCCCTAGGCTAAGTGTTTGGGGCACTGCTGGCTGTAAGGCTTCTGTGTCAACCACTAAATACTGTCGTTGAGCAAAAGTCGTCCTAGGTATTAAGTGGGCAAATTCATGTGTCTGCGTTCCAATGAAACGTTCTTCACAAAAGCAAGTGATTAAACCCATTTGGTCCATAAGCTACAGTTTGCCACTTGGCAATAGGTGAACATAAAGGACCCATGTAATTGATTAATATGATTCTCATTCTTAGAATGATGATGAGTCCTTAGCTTTAATATAGAAAAATGGGAGAAACACATTCTCATCAGTAACATAGAATCCCACTTCCTGAAACTTCGGGCTCCCGCTAACCACAGTGGGGCAACTAGTTCTGTTCTGGCCCAATTAGGGCTAGAAGAGACCAGATCTGGAAAGAACTACTGCAAATGCCAAGGGTGAGGGTTTGAGTTCAGAATCAAACTGACTTCTTCCAGAGATTCAGAGGTACGGCATGTGCTCAGACTTCTTCAGGCTCACGTGCTCTGGATTTGCCCACCTTAGTACATAAATGATCAAGATGAAATTCACCTCATCTGAGAGGGTTCACCTGTCAAAGAGCTGTCATATTTTCACATCAGACTTAGTCTAGTCCCTCATTTACGGGAGCTGGTTTCACTCCAGAAGGAAATGGCCTTACTTTTGAGAGTTTGAGGGGAGAGAATTGACCATGTACACCCAATTCTTCAATTACAATCCCTGGTTAGGAATATTGTTAGACCATTCATTGGTCCTTCTGTTCATTGGTAATTAATGGGATCCAGCAAGGATCTACTTTGTGGATGCTTGTACAATATTAGCCAGTCTCTATTACAGTGATAGAAAAATTGTATTATGTGGATGTAGAGTTGACTTTTTTAATTCTTATAAAACATTTAAGGAGCTTTCTGTTGTGTTTAACTTATCAGTTTGGTACTTTGTTTACTACTTAATTATTTCTTGTTTACGTACACCATTATTTCTATAATACCTGGCAATTTGATTAGTATTGCTTGTTGGATTTTTTTACAGAGAAAATGATTGGAATTTTTGTTTTAATTTTAGATAACAATGATGATTTCCTCACAATGGCAGAATGTCAATTCATTGTCAAGCATGAACTTGAAAATCTCAGAGCCAGAGATGAAAAAATGATCCCTGGTTACCCCCAGGCAAAGTTGTATCCTGGAAAATCACTATGTGAGTTCATTCTATCAACCAGTTTCTGAATACACATGCTAATGCAGTTATTTTTCTTGTGAGACCTGGTGATAAGACTGATTACTGCTTAGCAGCTAACTGAAAGGTTGGTCTTTGAACCCACCCAGAATCTCTTTTGAGGACAGATCCAGCTACCTGCTCTCCTAAAACTTGAAGGCTACAGAACCACGTGGGACATTTCTGCTCTGATACAGGGGTCGCCACCAGTCAACATCTCTTTGATAGTCCCTATCAACAGTCACAGGAGACATAAATCAGCTCCAGGGGTTTCAGTTTTCCTCCTCCTGGAAAGGTTACCAACTGTATTGTGTCCTCCGGATTGAATCTGTTAGTTTTTGAACTTCATTATATTACATCTCTAAATGTATTCTTTCTGGTTTTCTACACTTATTCATCAAGGTTTCACAGCCTGAAATGAGTAAGGAAATACTAGAGGTCTCATGAAATTTATGGAAAAATGCTATCTTTTCATTTCATTTTTCCACAAACTTTTTGAAGCCCCCTTGTATATTGGATATCATCAAAAATTGCGTTTACATTGATTATTTTTTTGAATTCCAGTTTCAATCATATGATTTTACTTCATTTCTGAGGTTTTCTATTATATTTCTTCATTTACATTAAAAATCTTAATTCTTAATAACATTAACATAATGAATAATCTGCCTTTTTATACTATGCAATAAATAGATTGAAAAATCAGGTTGATTTTAATATTAATAATAAAACTCCTAAAATGAAGCTCAAGATTTCTTTCTGTGTTCTTACCCCCTATTACGCAAAACTGAAAAAACCTCTTACTGCCATCAAGCCAATGTTGACTCACAGTCACCCTAAAAAACAGTTTACAAGAGTAGAAAGCCTTGTCTTTCTCCCACAGAGCAGCTGGCAACTTTGAACTATGGACCCCACACTGGCTGGTTCAGTATACACTCGGCCAGTGTGTACGGAGCTATGCTCTGGGCCTGGGTGAGATGCCTTTGCTTGTTCTCCTTGTAGATCTCCTTGGCTTTTCAGAAGTAGCGGGGACTTGGGGTCCAGGTGGCCATCTTTATTGTTTGTCCTCATTTCCATTCCATCTACATGTGTTTTGATGCCGATTGCTTTTTTATTCCTTCTAGTCGTTGTTGGACATGTGTTCTCTCAGTGCATAGATTAAAGTGACCATTATTTCTGGAAACATTTTCTTCAGTACCTTTGAAGCTTTGGTTCCATTTGATCTCTTCAAGTCTTCGGGGATGCCAATTATGTAAATATGGGCTGTTCTGGCTCACATCTCTGTCTTTGTTGTTGAGACTTTGTTCTTGCTTCACCGTCTTAAGCTATTTGCCATTTTTCTGACTGTGCTTTCAGTCTCTTTTTTATAGCGTTTGTTATAACTGTGTTTCTCTAACAGAGGCATGTTTCTCTTTTGTTGCTTTTCCCGAGATTTGGCACCTTAGTCTCTCCTGGCTATTCTTTGCATTTTGATTTCAAAGGTGCAATGTTTGTTTGAGTTCCTTGAATTTTGTGTAGAATTTAATCGTTTATCAGTGTTGGATGCTGCGATATTCTGCTGCTTCCTCTCAGTTGTTTTGTTTCTCCTTGCCCTGTTTTCCCCATGTGTCATTATGATTTGCATCATTTCGGGTCAGTCTCTTTCTGATTAAATGAATCCCTCGTTCTCCCAGACTAGCCATTTCAGAAGGAAGCTAGTGTGTAGGTGGGGAGTGGGGTAGGTGTTGCATACTGAAAATGTTTTTAGACATGCCTGGGTACTAAGTCAAATACAATACAAAAAGTTCATTGAGTGGGTTGTGTGGGTTGGTAACGTGTGTGTGGCATCTTGTTTTTCCTTTCCACCTGCATGAATCAGCCCATCATGTGGAAGTCACTGCCTCTATCTTTGTCTGTCTGTGTGGGTATAGCCTCAGGGGTGTGACTGGGTTAAAGAAAAGGGTGGGGGCACTCTTTCATCCAGTGGGGACTCTGAAGCAGCAGCTTCTAAATACCCCGGGCTGCTTCAAAGAGAGGGATTTTTAACCTAAATGCCAACTTGAAAGAACGACGTGAATGCATTTCTCTTGAGTGTGCAGGTGTTCAATTGGTGTCCTGAAGCAGTAGCAGGAAAGTAGGTTCCTCACAGGCAACATAATGTTTTCATAAACAAGGATTATTCTTTTTCGTATCAGTGCGGAAGCTACCAGAGTTTTAAACTGGATATTTTATCATGCTCCACCATTTGTAACACTAAGTGATTTGAACTGAGTATCTTGTAACGTCAGCTCAGTCAAGGTCATGTGAGAGCTGAGATGAGGGCTGCAGTCAAGTTGGCAGGACCAGATTTTAAACTGTGCCTTACTCTCTTCCTTCACGGTTTTGAAATGTTGTTATGTCATTTTAATTTTGGTTGGAGAAATGGCGCATGTATGATTAGACACTGCTAGCAAGTGCAAATTGCGGAACTCCTAAAACTTAGAGTCATTTAAAATGCTGAATTGCTGTTAAGTTAATCCACAGGAGTCAGTGGAAAGGCTTATTTTAGCCTCTGGATTTTGTGTTATTTGTGTGGGAGCCACCCTCAGAAGCTGCTGTCTCTCTGAAGCTGATCAGCAGAGACCTTAATTGGTGCCATGTCTTCCTGCCTGATTTGTGGTGGAAGCGGCTAGGGCTTTCAGGAGGAAAACCCTCCATTGGGTGCGGTCTAATTAGATTTTAACTTCTTATGTCATGGTTATAAGTTTGTTTGCCGAAATGTCACGTTTTCAAAGGGAGGTTTCATTGGGCAGATAGCCAGCTGTGCCCATGTGAACGTCATGCTGAGGGCTGCAGTGTACTGTGCCAGCTAGGGCACTTCCTCCCATCAAACAGGGAGCACTGGGGAGAGCTTCCAGCACCCCCCTCCCCCTTCATGGCCATCCCATTTCTGGTTTTCCACGTGGACTGAGACTTCCTCATGCCCTCTGACCCTGCTGTCTCTATAGGTGCTTAAACAAAATGCATTCCTATGCATTTTGTTGTTGAAAACACACACAACGAAACACTTCCCTGTGTGTTCCCCACGTCCCGTCGGTGGCAGTGATGGCCTTCTTCGAGGTGTGCCACCGTTCTCCCCGCGCTTCGCCGAGCTCTTCCTTCTCCATAACAGACTTCCACCGCCCCACGTTTCCACTGCCACCTGCGCCTTCCAGTCGTCCCACACAGATGGTTGTCAAAGGAGGCATGCCCGCGGCAGGCATAATTTGCTAATTAAACTAAACAACTGTTTGCCTTTGGCTTTGAAGATACTTCAGGGCATATATTTTTATTCTAAGGTTTAAATATTATAACAGGACAATTGTTTCAGGAGCTCATCCACCCTCCGCAGCCCTAGAGTTCATGAGAATCTGAAATTCTATTCTGTGTTTTCCCTGTTTTGATCAGGATTCTTCCGGGGGATCATCGATCAGAATGTTCAGCTGTGGTGGCTGGACACCATCCAGTGCTTCTGGCCTCTTGACAAAAGAGAGTTGTTCACGGAGGCAGGCAGCCAACCACACATTGCCTACACTCCTCTTCCCGACAGTCTTGCTTCCTCTTCCGGTTCAGGCAGATGGAAGTCTGCTGTTGTACTTTGGATCTTCAATGAGTTCTTAAATGTAACAAAACATTTGGTGCTTCTTCTGTTTTTGTTTTTTAAAAGAGTAATTAAGGGATCACACATCTCTTATGCATGAAATGTATCCCAAGGAATATATTATTTGCTGTAAGTTAGAACTCTGTCTCATAATGTCTACCAAACGGTTGTTGTGCTTTAATTGATGTGGTTAACCTTTCATTTCGCATGGTTAATCCTTTGGAGTGCATGTTGATGCAAGCAGCCGACACACTTGGCAGCTAACTACACAAGTTGATGATTTGTTCTCCCCAGAGGCCCTTTGGAAAAAAGGCCTGGTGATCTATGTCTGAAAAAAACTAAGCCATTGAAACCCTATGAGATATCTGTGTGGGAGCAAACTTGACGATAGGAACGATGAGATAGGAAAGGTAGGGGGCTCAAAAACTGGCTTCCAGAAAGTCGATTCTGACACATAGTGATCCTCTCGGGCAGAACAGAACTGGCTTTCAGAGACTGTATATCTTTTCGGTAGCAGACAGGCTCATCTTCCTCCTTCAGAGCTACTGATGGTTTTGAACTGCTGACCTTGCAGTTAACAGCCAGACATATAACCCACTCCACCACTTTGGGGACAGTGAGTTTATATTAGTGGGGGAGGATCAATTTGGGGAAAGGTATGAATGGCTGTACAATTTGATGGATATAATCAGTATCATGGAATTGAACATGTAGAAATTGTTGAATTGGTTTACGTTCTGTGGTGCATTTTCTCGACACAATAACAACAAAATAAAATCCTTGAGAACATGAGCCACGTAGAAAGGAGAAAACACTTTGGCGCTCAGTTCTTGTCTGACACATACGAGGTTGCCCTAAACTCGAAATCGACTTGCCAGCAAGTGGTGGTGAGCATGTTGTCATCGGCTGTCTTCTGTGGACAGGTGGGTAGTCAGATACAGCCTGCTTCTGAAATCTAATTTGGCTTGATAAGAATGATGAATAAAGGCCAGCTGAATGCCATGTAGCAGGCGTGTTGCTACAAAGATTAAGTCACTTGTGCGCACCTACAGGACTATAGTCAACGGCTCTATGCACTCCTCAGGTGACGGCGGGGCGGGCCGCCTGAGCCGACCCAGTGCATCCAGAGCAGGAGCCTGGCATTCTGCTTCTGTGGAGAGTGAACAAGCGACAAAGAAAGTGTCTGCTGTCTAGTGGATCCTGACTCACAGGAACCCTGCGGGGCAAGACAGGTTCGCAAGGCTATTATCTCTATGGAATCAGACTGCCACATCTCTGTCCACTGAGGACCTGCTGGATTCGAACCACAGTAGCAGCTGAGCACATAGCTACTGTGCCCCCCAGGACGCCTTCTATAAAGATTCCAGCCAAGGGATCCCAGGGGAGCAGTCCCACTCTGTAACACACGGCATTGCCATGCGTTGAAATCAACTCCATGACCCAAGACAATAACCACAACTCTATACGCTTTGCCGTGTGCATATGGACCTTTATTAGATTAAGCAGTGATGGAAACCGTGCAGGGGATATCCCCGAGAGTCGTTCTTTTTTTTACTTCACAGAGCAAATGCCATCTGTTCACACCCCAGTCTAGGGTCTCCCAGGGGCGGTGGGGCTGTGCCGGGGGTGCCCACATCCTACACAGGCTGCTAGGTGTTGTTGTTGGCTGGCACCCCTGGTGCTTGTTCCATTGCTGGGGTCGAGGCAGCAGCACCCGCCACTCCCCTGTCGTGCAGAGACCCTGTGATGTGAGACAGTTTTGTTTTCACTTTTGAATAAACACATCACACACACCAAAGAGAGTCGTGGGACCGAGGTGGCACTATTCCTGTTTCCTTCATTGCTGGGTTCCTTCTGGGAGCCAGGTGACCTGCAGTCTCTCTTAGTAGACTTCCGTTTGCTTTTCCTCACCACCGGCTGTGGTGGTCATCACTCAGAGGACAGGCCGAGGTCATTTGGCAGAAGGAAGGAATCCTCGTGGAAGCTGTCCCTTCCTTTAAATAGGCCTGCAGCAGCATCTTTTCCTTGGAAGGTAAGCCTCTGGCATGAGCATTCCTAGTTGACTTGAGAAAGTTGAAGGATAAGAACAAAACTCAACAAACTAGAGACTGCCCCCCCCCCCCAACCCCCTCCAAACCAACATCTGTTTTTAGAAGCTGAAACCCAAATAATGCTCTTGGCATTGCTGGTAACGTGAAGGCCAGTAATTTAGGACTCTGAGCCCCTCAGGTCATGATTCTATGTTTAGAAGTCCGTCTGCAAGCCGAGTGTTGTGCCTGCTGGGAAAGTCTTCTAGAATCTAACCAAATCTTTAAGAGAGACAAGTGTGAAGTAGTAGACTAATCTTTTAGATGCCTTGCGTCCGTTCAGAGTTAAGGGGGAATAAAAGAGACACTAACCTTGATACAGGACTTGAAAGAATAAGAAACAGGAAGCAAGACCCGGGCAAAGTGTGCGTTCCCAAAGAGGAGGCACGAGTCAGAACACTTGTGGGAGATCAGTCGGCGCGCACGTGAGCTGACGTAGAATCCGCTGACACGTTCTAGAATAAAAATATGAGGGGCGGGGAAAAGGATTTGATGGCACCAGACGCTGTCACATGTTTGCCTTTCTAACCCTACTTGCTGACGTTTTGATTCTTCCACCATTAAGGAGGATTTTTATCACAGCGCTAGCCCCCACTTTTTTCCCTTTGCCTAATTATACGTAAGAGAGCATTCTAAGCTGAACCTTGACTTCTTTTTTTAAAGATACAGGTTTTCCCCTATTGCTCCTCTCAGCTGTCTTCTACGTTATCTTTCCTTACATTTCTAAGAAGCGATGTTGACTTTTCAATCACCCTGGAGGTGTCATGACACGGCCCTGTCCTGAGAACACACAGCTTATGTCTACCTAGAACTCGCTGTAGAAACGCCGTGTCTTGTCCATCCTGTTGGGCCGGGGAGGGGCCTGCTGCCCATGTTCTCACCCCTTGCCCATGGTGGCCTGTAGGTAGGAGATAGGGGTATGGGAGAAGCACACCTACTCTTCAGTCAGACACTGTGCCAGAGGTCAAGAGGAAGGTGCACAGGTGTTGCATCTGAGTTTTCACACCACTGAATATTCTCCTTCCGGAAGGCCTGATAAACTCCCCCCAATCCCCCAGCCCCCACCTCCCTGTCTCATGAATCACCGTAATTATGAATGAAAGAATGCCCCAGTTTTCTGTAATATTTCCAGGGTGTATTGACTTTGGGAAAAAAAATCATCTCTTTCACATGCCACCTTTTCACAGGTGGGAAAGGACTTAAAGTTTTGCATCATGTGTAATTATATATAAAAAAAGATGAGTATTTGTTCATAGAGGATGAAATGATAGCACTCGGGAATATTCTGACATCTAAGGACATGTTGTGCTCTCTCTATATTGACTTGGAGAGCAAGCACATATCTTCATACTTTTACACAGGAAAATATGATAGAACCGGTGTCTAGAAGGACTGCAATTTTGTTTTAGACATACATTTCTGGGTGTATTCTAGATGTACAAGAAAATGCTATTCAGCAACAGCTATTTCTTAAGTGTGGCAGTTACTTAATCTACTGTCAACTCGAGTGAAGGGGTGGAGCCTAGCCTGTCAATCAGGTCATAGCCAATGAAGCTTCTGTGTGGGTGTGGCCTTCTGAGGATTCTGGGAACTCCAGTCTTCCTCCCTGGAGGCGGCACATACTCTCTCTCTCTGCTTGACATTCCTGTTGACAAGCCATATGGAGATACACTATTGGAGCCAGAGCGCTGAAGCTGGTGGAGCCATGTGGAGACCCATGCCAGTGTTAAGATGCTTCTACCACCACTGCATCCACAAGACTTTCCACCCACTGGCCTGTGATCTTACGGCATTTGCCATCATTGCATGTGTTGTATGAGCCTGAAGAGGAATTTATAGACTGGCATCAGACATATGAGCTAATATCAGACTTATGGACTTGATCTGGACTGGGCTGGGGTGTTTTCTCAATATTCAATTGCTCTTGTAGATAAAGCTCTTTCTTGTACACACATGAGTGTCTATGAATTTGTTTCTCTTGTCAACCCAGGCTAACACACCAAGGAAGGGGTAGGGAAAAACAGGGACCCTTTCCTATCAGAATTTGTACTCTTCTTTGTGGCTTAAACTTGGGCTTGTATTGCTTTTACAATCAAAGAAAGTAATAACATTTACATTCTGAAGAATAAGGGAATATAGGTTGCAGGGACAGTAATTTATTGAATGTAGCTCTTCTAGCCAAAGTCTGTAACTCCCACCAGATGACCATTCCCTGCCTAGGCCTGGTAAGAAGGCGAGGAAGATACTGATAGGATTCACACGGGAGTAATTGTGACCAGGATCCTTTGCATTGCCATCCTGCTGCGCACAGAATGAGCCCTCGCAGAAGCAGGAAGCAGGATCTCATTACCAGCAAGAGCCAGGAGTGGAACGCGTCCTCTGGACCCGAGATCCCTGTGCAGTGAGCCTCCTGCATCCAGAAGACAGCTGTAACATCAGAGAAGCAGCGGCAGAACCAGGAGCCAGAGCATGGAACAGAGTGGTGGACTTCTCAACCCACAGAGCAAATAAAGCTGGGTGCTTTTGTGTAGGAGGCTAGCTTGTGGAGTCGGACTCTTTGAACCATGGAAATGAAGCTGGGGGCCACTGGACTGAGACTTACTGGAGTAGGATGCCTCTGGGCACTTAATTCAGGGAGCGGGGTTTGCTGACTAACTTGAGTTGAATACTTTAGGGTTGAGGCTCACAGTGGAGTGGTATGCTTCTGTGGGCATTTACCAGCAGACCTGAAAGAACTTTGTAACACATCCTGATAAGCAACGATCCCTAGTATGTCTCACCACTATTACAACCTGTTGCCTTCCTTAATAAACTCTTTAATTCATGGGTTTTGTCTATGGGTTCTGCATGACCGTTGCAGTAGATATTCGATCCTCCCCAAACCTCCCCCAAACTGATTGTCATTGGGCCCTAAAGAGGTAAAACAGAACATGAGTGAAAATATCATGTAGGCTTTTGAGTAAGCACTGTCCAGGCCTGGTGTGCAGTCCTCAGTCTCTTACCGCAGTGGTGGTACAGTGCCCGCTGAAGCCTCACCCGCAGCGTCGGATCTGTTTTATGGACTTTGGCCCGTTTTCTCTTTGCAGTGAGAAGATTGCTCACCTCTGGCATTGTGATTCAGGTGTTTCCGCTGCATGATAATGAGGCCCTGAAGAAGCTTGAGGACACCTGGTATACGCGCTTCACCGTCAAGTATCAGCCCATAGGTATGTGGATCAGCCTATGGGGCTGTATGTGTCAGTACCCACTCTCCAAGGAAAGGGCCGGCGGGGCCAGGAAGAGCTTCCTCCAGAAAATGAAAAGCTATGATTCGGCTGGAAAGGCAGACGTGTAACATTCAGAGTACGAGGCTGCATGGAGGAAAGCATTTCTTTTGGGGGAGAACTGGGTTAAAGTACTTATTTTTCATCTCTAATGCCCTGCTAGGTGGACTGTATCGTGAGCTTTCATGAGTTTTACCAGCAACACTTTAGAGTGGCCTTCCGGAGGATGGAGGATACATTTTACAAGAATTAAGTCTGGCCTTGAATATTTTGGCTGATGCTGTAGGGCCAAGCAATGCTGACACTGAGGAAAATTCTACCAGGCCTAAATAACTTTTGAGATAATATAGAAATATCTTGTTGTGTGTTTCTATTGTCTCTGACTATACCTCTAAGAAGAGTTATTATTTTATTTAGTATGTGTCAAGTGCTATTTTATATCAATACAGAGTTTCAAAAATATTCAAAATTGCTGGCTCAGTAATACATTTGAAGCGTTGGATGTACAGTTACGCTGGTGGATTTCCTCATAAACATTTGCAAAACATTCTTCTGCGAAGGCCATTTCTCCCTTGATTTTGTTAAAAGGAATACTTCCCCAATAGTCTTTCTAATTTCCATTTCTGAGCACCACCATGGTAATGCTGTTATAAAAAGCGAAGATTGTTTTTAGGCTCATATCCTGAAACTGCATTCATTATTATTTTTTAATTTGTAGAGATGGAAGTTTTATGTTTTGATAGTTTCAAGTATCGCAGTAGCTACTTTGTGCTGGATTTAAGGCATTCTTTCACTTGGTTTTAGCATCGAAGTGGAAGGAAGTGCATTTGATTATTGTCTGTAGGACTAGATGCCGGTAGCATCTGCCAGCTAAGCTTGGGCCTGGCTGTCCTGGTGGCTTCAAGGTGTCTGGGGAGTGCTGGCCCCAGGAGAGTGGCTGGACACAGGCACATCTTGAACCACCCTGCAGAGGCCACCTGTTCAGAACCCAACACATAAGAACCATCTTTTCTTTTCAGGCAGCTCCTCTAACCTATTGCAGAGTGAGGTGGCTTTATCATATTCACCATCCTAATGAGCCTCTGGGGGGGTTGCTGGAAGGTCTAAGGATAGGAAAAAATAGCTCAGTATGTTCACTCTAACCCACCTCCATAGACTCCTCTGATCAAAGTATCTTTTTAAAAATGATATGGCATGCAATTGACCAGAAACCATTTCAACTTCTGCTGCCAACTGTCTGCCACTGGCACATCCCATCATGGTGCCAGGGCAGGATGCTCTCACCATCCAGACACTCGCTGATGTGGGTGTGGTAGGCAAAGCAGGCAGTGTAAGTGAGCTCTCTTGGATTCGTTAGCTTGAATTGAGTTCAGACAACGTTAACAGTAATGTGGCTAGCAGTTCAAACTCACGCACTGCCGAGAGAGAGAGAGAGAGAGAGAGAGAGAGAGAGAGAGAGAGAGACAGACAGACAGACAGACAGACAGACAGACAGACAGACATGGACCCATAGAGATATGTGAGGCTTTCTCTCCTGTAAAGAGCGTACAGCCTTATCCACTCAAAAGGGCAGTTCTACTCTGGGTTTGCTATGAGTAGGAGTTGACACTAGGGCGATGGGTGTAGGTATACAAGGGGGTTACCCCCCCAAAACAGAATTGTGCTGGGCAGAGCAGAGCTTTCGTAATTACGAATTTTTCCTGCTAGGCCAGCATAGAGCAACTCTCTCTCAATTAGTGCACCCAGTGGTGTCACCTGGGAAGGTTCTCTCTGGTTACAGTGAATTTTTTCATAAAAGCAGTTTTGCTCAAACCTCGTTTGTTGTTATGGCTGGCTTAAGAGAACAGTGTGCGGCTGTGAAATTTTGTTTCCTGCCTGGGAAAAATGCCGCAGAAACTGTTGTGATGTTGAACACAGCTTACAAGGACAGTGCTACGGGGGAAACTCAAGTGTAGGAGTAGTCTTCTCATTTCAAAAAAGGTGAAATGTTAATTGATGACAAACCTCGTTCTAGACATCCATCAACTTTCTGAACAGACAAAAATTTCTACTTGTAGTGCATTTGGAGTTCATTCCACCAGGTCAGACTGTTGATCAAGCTTTCTATTTCGAGGTTCTGAAAAGATTGCATAACAGTGTGCCACAAAAAAGGCCTGCTTTGTGGCAGACGGGAGACTGGTTTTGCCACCACAACAATGCTCCTGCCCACGCAACCATCTCTGCACCAGTTTTTGGCAAAAAACAGCATGCCTTTCTTGCCCCACGCACCTGACTCACCTGAACTTGTTCCATGGGGCTTCTTTTTGTTTCTGTGAATGAAGAGGGACATGAAAGGACAGCGATTTAACAATGCAGAAGAGGTGAAGAAAAAAACGAGGCAAGTGCTGTCAGCCATCCAAACAGATGAGTTTGAAAAATGTTCCCAAGAATGGAATTGCAGATTTGACAAATGTGTTGAGGGTAATGTAAAGTACTTTTGAAGGTGATAAAGTTGTTTTGTAAAAAAAATTAAATACATAGCTTTGGGGGTGGGGTGAAGAATTCTGTTTTTTGGGGGTATCCCCTCATATGCTCTTTATGACATTGAGTATAAGTAAATGTTCTAAAAGGGAATATGTAAAGTTGTGTGCGATCTTGAATAATTTGTATTTTTCCGAGTATTGACAATTTTGCCAAGACTTATTGATGCAGACTTCTACTGGTGGGTATGCTAAGTGTGGTACTTACATACTCTGGTGTCAACTTGCAAAGGGGTGGAGTCTAGCCTGTCACCCAAGTCACAGCTTGGTGACCTCATTTGGAGGTGCCACAGAGACAAATAGCTCACTGGAGGCCAGGTACCTGCTTAGTCTTCCTGCTGACAAACCACATGGAGACCTCTGATGAAACCAGAGCCCCAGGAGCTGCAGGAGCCACCTAGAGACCCATGCCAGTGCTGAGATGGTTCCACCACCACTGGATCCACAAGACGTTCCATCCACTGGCCCATGATCTTCCTGCATTCGGCGTCATTGCATGTGTTGCATGAGTCTGAAGAGGAAATTTTAGACTGGTATCGGACTTATGGACTAATATTGGACTTAAGGACTTGATCTGGACTGGGCTGACGTTTCCCTTCATATACAAATAGTCTTTGATAGAAAGTTCTCTATTATACACATATGAGTGTCTATGAATTTGTTTCTCTAGTCAAACCTGGACTAACACACGCAGTAAGGCATAGAGTTCTTTTTGGAGAAGAATATGTGTGACTATACTGTTAAAGTGGGAGCAAAAATAAGAGCCCTCAACCTAACATAGCTCAGAGCTTGGGCCCTGAGAGTTGTCAGGAAGGCAACCTCCTGAGGAGGAAGTAAAGGGAAGCTGTCTGAGGGTGCCTCGCATCGCAGCCAGCCCGGCAGTCCTGAATGAGGACGGTGTTTGGTTAGCTGTGTGGACATGTGGGTGTGCATAGCATGGGTAGACTTAACACACTATGTGGAATGAAGATATCAATGGATCCCCGTTTGGCTACAAAACTGACTAAGCTTGCTTGAATTATATTTGAAATGTATATTTAAAATGTAATTAGTATTATGTGTATTTTTGAACCTGTTTCTCGCCACCCCCCCTTTTTCTTGTAGACAGTATTCGCAGCTACTTTGGGGAGACGATTGCCCTCTACTTTGGGTTTTTGGAGTATTTCACGTGTGCCTTAATCCCCATGGCCATCATTGGGCTGCCTTACTACCTGTTTGCCTGGGAAGACTACGACAAGTACGTCATCTTCGCCTCGTTCAACCTGGTCTGGTCCACCGTCATCCTGGAGGTGTGGAAGCGAGGCTGTGCCTGCATGACGTACCGATGGGGCACCCTGGTCATGAAGAGGAAGTTTGAGGAGCCACGGCCTGGATTCCATGGGGTCCTGGGTATCAATCCTGTCACCGGCAGGGAGGAACCGCTCTACTCCAGCTACAAGCGACAGATGCGCATCTACCTGGTCTCCCTGCCCTTTGTGTGCCTGTGCCTCTACTTCTCTCTGTATGTCATGATGATTTACTTCGATATGGAGGCCTGGGTCCTGGCGCTGCATAAGGACAGTGAGTCTGAATGGACCAGCCTCCTGTTGTACGTGCCCAGCATCATCTATGCCATTGTGATCGAGATCATGAACCACCTCTATCGATATGCTGCCGAGTTTCTAACTGCATGGGGTAAGGCTACAAGCTTGTGCTCAGGCCTGATGTGCCTGTGAGCATTCATAGGCTTCACACACCTGTTAGCTTGTAAAGAAGGTGTGTTTTGCTCTGGGCCCATCATAGGGATGCAAGCAAAGCTCACTGGTTCTGATGGTGTCATATCATAGATGTCACAGCTCTCATGGTTGCTAGTTACAGTATTCTAAGCGCCCTGCTAAAGGGGTCCTGGAGGTGCTGTGGGCTGGGTGTTGGACTGCTAACCTCAAGGTCCATGGTTCAAACCCACCGGCTGCCCCATGAAGGAAAGGTGGGGCCATCTGCTGCTCTCTTGATTCAAAGTCTTGGACACGCTACGTAGAGTCCCTTTGAGTCGGAGCCAGCTTGGTGGCAATGGGTATGCAGGTTTTCAGTATCTCCCCAGGACAGCATGCTGTCGAAATTATTTTATGATTTTAGAGACAAACCAGCTAGAGTTTTTACCAAGGCGCAGGGTTTTCCCTCTCATGTCATTTCTCATCTAGAGCCAGGTTAACCCGGACCTACCTGTATCCAAAACCTGTGTGCCTGAGACTGTAAGCCCATGTTTCATGCTGAGGGCAGATGGAAAAGATCTTTTTGACGACACTCCATTGGACTGAATGACAGCTAGTATTTTGTAACTGATTGCCTAGTGGTTGTGGGGAAATGAGGACGGCCATTATATTCCATGGAGTGGCATTGTCTAGGTGCAAGAGGAACTGGCAGTTTAACAATGTTTTGACAGGCCATTCGCTCATTCAAACAAACAAACAAACAAACAAACAAACAAACAAATGCCATATTATTTCCCAGAAAGAAGCCTAGGCCGTAACTTTGTGAACCCTAAAGGTGTCTCACATGCATTTGAGTGGCCACGCTCTAGCAGCTGTGACTACTACCACCACTGCCATCTGACTCAGCAACCCTAAGTGGAACCTCCCCTGTGAGTTTCCCAGGCTGTACATCTTTCCTGGATGCTGAGGAAGCCTCACCTTTCTCTCAAGGAGCCGCAGTTGGATTCAAACTGCCGACCTTGTGGGGTACAGCCCAGTGTGTAGCACACCGTTCCACCAGGGCACTTTTCGTGCAACAGCAGTGACTGGGTATTGAGTGCTTCCTTCTGTGGAGCTTGGGCTTGGATTTGATATTTCTCCTATTCACAGGGACCCTGTGGGGAGGGTACTGTCAACCCTGCTTGATAGCTGGGTGGCTAAGTCTCAAAAGTGAAGTGACTTGCTCAGGGTCAGACGGCCGCTGGGGTCCAGCCCCACTGCCCCTCTGTGCACGACCTCTCTTGTCTGCAGTCTTCTTGCCCGTTGCCTTGCTGCCTTGAGATCTGCACAGGGTCTCCTTTCCCAGGTGAGGATGGAGATGTGCATTCCCCTTTAAGCGAATCGCACGTGGCCAACCACATGCGCAGGAGACCATCCCCTTACTCATCAGAGATCTCTAGTGAGATCTCCACCAGGTCTTCTGGGGGGATTGGCTGATGTAGACTCATTGGCCAACACTTAGCACATTTTTTTTCTGTTAGTGATAATATTAAAAAAAAAAATAATTTCAGACCACAATGCTATTGGGGTACCCACTGAAAATGTGCCCTGAACTTCCTCTCCTCTTTCCCTGTTTGTTTTTGATGGCTGCACATTCATGATGAGTCCCTGGCCTCCGTGTGACCTCTTTCCCTGATGACCACATTCCCATGTTGCTTTCTTCCCTGAGAGACATGACCTCTCCTTTTTAATATTTCAGAGAATCACAGATTGGAGTCTGCCTATCAGAATCATCTCATTCTGAAAGTTTTAGTGGTAAGTACAGTTTTATACACACAGGTTAATTCAATGAGGAAACTAGTTCAGACTCTTAGGGATGTGACATTTCTAATTCAAGATTTCAGAGTTAGCGTATTTTGTGAAAGTAGCCAAGACATGGCTAATAAATGCACACACACACACACACACACACACATACATATCTGTAAAGTGACTTCAGAAAGTTCCACTTTCCCATTAGCTTTTGAAGCTCCCTTGTACATTTGTTCAAAAGTTACAAATACACATGTAGTATAATTCATTATATAACAACTAGTAGATCCTTTTGAATTTGTTGAACTCTCTGAATTACCATAATTCATTTAGTGATGAGACAGTAAAATAATTGCAAATGAAAGTATTCCATCATATGTTTAGACTGTTAAAAAGCTTTTAAGCTATGTTGGCAGGAGTGTGTCTTGCCTCACTTTGGAAGACGTCAGTAGGACTTTTTCCCTAAGATCACCCTTGGATTTGGTGACTGGAGGAGAACTCGCGGGACTCGGCATGTGATTACAAGACTTCCAGCAAAACCAGTACCAGCAGAGGCAATTGGTCTAAGCCCAGCTTCTGAGAGACTTCTATCTTAGTGGAGTCACACAAGATATGTTGAATTTTTCCAGCATTGAATGATGACAGCACTGTGAAATATTGGCTACCAGGAAGCTCATTAGGCACTCAGTGCTCATGGTTTTTATTGTCGACTGGTCACACATACTAAGGAAAACAGGTGTTCAGCACAAACAGGCACTGATGATTTATGAAGTGGTGGGAGCCCTCCTGAAACCCAAGCTCCCAAGTACCAGCCAAGGACCACCTTTGCAAGCAGGCCCTTCTGAGGAGCCCCGTCTCTGGCCTGCTCTGTGTTCTTTCAGTACCATCCAGTATCAGAGGCTGTTAGGGGTTTTGTTCCAATTGTCAGATAAGATTTGGTGAGTTTTTTGGAAGAAACTTGTCAGGACATGAATAGCCAATTGTATGTACCCATATTTCTGCTTTTTAAATAGAGTGCTACTCTTTCTTGAGTGCTATTAAATATTCTACTTATATTTCCCTTTTGTGTGGAGAGCTCTTTAATCAATACTAAGACTAGACCTGCTAGTGAGAACTTTGTCTTCATCAGAGAATATGTACAGATCCTTATTCCTAAGGAAATTGTCACCGTCTGTAGAAGCTGTGGCTGTGACCTTGTTTAACACTGAAAGAGAGTGCCACTTCTCTCTTACCTCTGTGGTTTCCCATAGGAAATCGCTGTCATTTGAGTCTGTGTTCGTCTGATGGCCACCTGTGGCAGGTGGGAACATTTTGACTCAGGGCAATCCTGTATGTGTCAACCCTGTACAGAACTGTACTCAAAAGGGTTTTCTTTTCTTTCCTTTTTAAATGTTCATTTTTTAAAAAGTCATTTAATTGGAGGCTCGTACAGCTCTTATCACAATCCATCCATCCCTTGTGTCAAGCGCATTTGTACATAGGTTGCCATCATCCTTTTCAAAACATTTTCTTTCTGCCTGAGCCCTTGGTATCAGCTCCTCATTTTCCCCCTCCTCTCCCTCCCTCATGAACCCTTGATAATTTATAAATTATTATGATTTTCATGTCTGACACCAACCACTGTCTCCCTTCACCCACTTTTCTGTTGTCCGTTCCCCTGGGAGGGGGTTATATGTCGATCATTGTGACCAGGTCCCCCTTTCTCTCCCCACCTTCCCCTTCCGCTCCTGGTGTGGCTTCTCTCAGGATGGGTCCTGAGGGGTTAGTTTGAAAGGGTTTTCCGTGACTGTGTTTCACAGGTAATCACAGGCCTTCCTTCCCAGGCACCTCTGTGTGCACCCAAACCTTTGGTGAATAGCCAAACTGATTAACCACTTGTCTCATCCAGGGACTCCCACTACGGCTAACGTGTCATTCTGCTTTTGCCACGCTCACGGTCTTTGATTCAGGAGTTCCATTATGTTATGTTTTGGGTTTACCTTGTATAGTGCTGCGCTCACCTTTAGATTCATACCTCGCATTCATAGGGGGGAAGTTTTCAGTCATTATTTGTTCACACACTTTTATTTATTTCAAACCATTTTAATTGTCAGGGGTGTGTGTGTACATTTCAGATCATTAACTGTATTCAACAGTTTAAATTGCTTAACCCCCTTAACACCCCTCCCTCCCCAATAATTTACCCTTCACCTGCTCCTTGGTGTCTCTTTTCCCTCTTGGGGGCTACCAACTTCCATGTCACTCAAGTTAACACCCATCCACAGTCTAGCCCCTTGCTTTATTTTCCCTCCTCCCCTTGGGAATCTCCTTTCTCTTCACCCCCTCTCCCCTTATACCAGTGGTCTCATGTAATGTTTGTCCTTCTTTCAAAGAATCTTGTTGGGTCTCATTTATTGTCTCATGGTCCCAGAGGTCATTTCGTTTTTAAAATCGATTTTCTTTTGTGCAAATTGAATAAATCCAATCGACCTGTCTTTAACTTTATCAAGTCTGTGTGGCTGGTCTACTGTTGAGTCTACTCAACCAGTTGTTACTGTATGTTTGAGTTTTATAACTTCCATTTGTGTTTTTATGTCTTTTAGCTCTTTGCTGAGGTTTTCTATTTTCCCACCTGTTTCAAGAGAAAGTGTAATACCTTTTGATACTGCTTAATAAAAACTGCTTTAAGATTCCTGTCTGTTAATCCTAGCATCCTATTCGTCTCCATTTTGGTGTCAGTTGATTGTCTTTTCTCATTTAAATTGTGACTGTCTTGGCTCTTGGCAGCGTGGGTGATTTTAGGCTGCATACTAGACATTTTGTCTGTTATGCTAGGAAACTCTAGGCCTCATTTAAATTTTGTATCTTGGCAAGCACTCTCCCTGTTTCGGTTTAGCATGTGTATTCTGGCCCACTTTTGTGGGCTGTGGTTGTAATGGCAGTGAACTTGTTCTAGACTTTCTAATTGTTTTTTTATCTCCACACCCCCACCCCCACACTGCTTGTTTGACTGGTGCCACTGGGGCTGTCTAAAGGGTGGAAGGGATTTCCCAGGGGGTGGTTGTCAACTGTCTTTTGGTGGAGGAGGAAAATCTTCAGCCCACAGGCAAAGCGGCTTCGGTGACCTTGCACCTGCTAGGACTTGATCTACCCTACTTGTGCCTCTTGGCTGCCCATCTGTTTCTGTATCAGGGTGAGGAAGTCTTAGGCTCATGCTATCAAAAAGCTAATCAGTATGACAAAATCTGTCTTGCTTAACGCCACCTCATCACGCTGGTATCTCTTGGTAAGGGATGGAGTCTCAGACCCATGGGCATAAAGGTGCTTCTTGGATCCAGCCCTTTGCTATGGTGGGCCTCCTTTGCCAATGCTGCCCAGCGATTCCACTGACTCTTCGTGGGGGAAGGGAGCTTCAGGTCCTTGGCCTCAAAGAGGCTTGCTAGGGTGGGCTGCGCTGGGCTGACCTTGGCTGGGCTGGGCTGGGCTGGGCCAAGCCTATTATTCTGACAAGGCCCTTCTTGCCATTTCTGTCTGGCATGGGATCATCAGGCCCAGTGGAGAAGGCAAACATTTCTCTTGGCTGCTTATCATTGGCGGGGCTCCCAGTCAATCCCCCTTGCTGGTTCTTCTGTGCTTGCCTGGTGGTGTTGGTGAGACTTGGGTTGGACTGGGAGGTGGGTGGAACTGAGTGCACCTGGGCTACCTGGTTGGGTAATCCCGGCCAGGTGAGGGATTGGGAAATGCTGAGCCTTGGTTCCCCCTCCTCTTGGTGGGAGAAACAATCAGACGTCTGGGTGCCGTGTTGTCCCTTTACTCCCGGGGCCCCAGACCACTTTTCTCTGCTCGCCCCATCTTAGCCTTCTTCTTTACTCGTCTCCTGTATGATTTGAAAGTTTGTGTTGCCCTTACTCGGGGATGGGGAGTGCGGAGATCACAGAAAACAATCCACATCATCTAAAAGCCCCCCATCAGATGCTACCACTGTATTCGTAACACAAGGCCATAAAGCGGTATTAAATGTTATCATCTTCTTTTTGGCAGTTCAACTTTCTGAATTGTTTCGCCTCCCTTTTCTACATTGCCTTTGTCCTGAGGGATATGAAGCTTTTGCGTCAGGTGAGTGAGAGTAACAAAAAAGTGTCTTTTTGTTTTAGAATTTAGAGGTGGCTCCCCATTTTCTAGTGATGTAACTGTCTTCATAGCATCCCCCTCACCCCAATCCGAAATAACATGTTAGATTTCGTGTACTTCTAGGACTGATTTTAAACAAGCAGACAACAAACATCAGCAACTACCCTACCCATCTCACTCAGATGAAAAGAAATTAATTGATGCTACTACTCTATTTGTAAGAATGATCACATGGTGCAGAAAAGCCAAATTGATTTTCCTCTCAAGGCTAATTCTAACCTAACAGCAAAAATATATTCATTAATTGAACTGTGCGTGTGAGCCACTGGCTTTGGCGTGGCCTTAAATATCATTCGCATTCCTAGATTTCTCAATATTTAGTTTCAATAGAATTATGATATATTATTTGTGGAGATTTCATTTTATTTGTCACATACTTGTATGCCTGCTATGATTTTATTAAGCAACATTGCTAAATATTCTTTATATACTTTTCTTTAGAGCTTGGCCACTCTGCTGATTACCTCACAGATCATTAACCAAGTTGTAGAATCCCTTCTTCCATATTGGCTTCAAAAGAAGCATGGGGTGCAGGTGAAGAAGAAGCTGCAGGCTCTAAAGGCAGATATCGATGCTACACTCTATGAGCAAGTCGTCCTGGAAAAAGAAATGGTGACCTATTTGGTAAGTTTGAGTTTTGCCGAATCAAACATCTACTAAACTCCTGACTAATGGGTGCATTGTGTACTCATTATGTCAGACATGACGGTTTTCAGGGCTTTCCAACCAGTTCTTATTGTGAGTTTCTTGCAAAATAAAGAGATGGAACTGTATGTTGAAATTCTACTGTCTTGAGCCTGAAATTTTGCCTAGCGATGGTAAACTGTGGGCGTGGTGATTTATGTGATTATTCTGCCAGGAATAATAGGAGGTGGTGGAAAGAGCTGTTGCAGGCATGGCGATGGGAGGGTGAGAAGGGCTGTGGACAGGGCCAAGGGGCCAAGTTCAAACTCACGAGTTGGTCAAGCAGTGGATTGGGGGACCACGGCCGAAAATGGAATGCCAATGAGAAGAGTCATTTTTAACTTAGTGTTATTGTTCATGTAAACCAGTTCCTTTGAAGACAGATCATTGCAGGGCTGTTTTAGGAACTGCAAAGAAACCATTAGAGACGCAGCCGCTTTGAGAATCTTATAAGCTCTAATCATGAAGCCAACACTCTGTCATTGAGCCCTGGCTCCGTTCACTATTTCTAGAATTCGTAGCGTTTGAGGGTCACAGTTGCTTCAGAATGTTGTTTCTTAAACCAAAAGCAGACTCATGCCGTCAAGTTAGTTCCAACTCGTAGGGAGCCAACCGGACAGAGTAGAGGTGCCCTGTGGTTTTCTCCATCTGGGAATCTTCACAGGAGCCCAGAGCCCTGTCTGCTCCAGAGGAGTGGCTGGTGGCTGCCTGCCGGCTTTGTGGTGAGCAGCCCAGCGAGTAGCCCACTCTGCCTCGGGCTTCTTGTTTTTCACATCCTCCCTGATTGATAGGCCTTTTTGCTGGGTAGAAAATCACCTTCAGTTGTTCATTCAGTGGGGGTGCATGACTTTTAAAACCCTCACGGTCCCTGCTTTCTGATGTTAATAAATCCCTCCCGATGATTGAGTTTCCTGGCTGACTTTCGTAGTTATTCTCCTGTGCTGAGCAGTTTCAGACCGTGCGTTCATCTGGAGCGGATGCTTGTTTTCTCTCTCTCTCTCTCTCTGCCAGTTTATTTCAGCCTTGTTTTGTGAATTTGCCCCACTGAGCCTCCAAGTCCCTGGTCCCGAACGAGGTCTTTGTAGCCCAGAGCTCCCATCTTGGGGTGATGTTGGAGAATCACAGATCCAATAGGTAAAATGCTGTTGACAGCACCTGTGGGGTTTTTCCCAGCCATCTTTCAGGCCCTGGTTTTGCTCAATCATCCTGGTTCTATTTAAACTTAGGGAGGTTGGGTGCCTTTTGCTTCTCAGCGTTTAGAACCTGACTATTCTGCTGATTACCATCTTATACTTTTTCCATTTTTCTTGTTACTGAGTGGCAAGTATGTCTTTTGATGAAAAGTGTGTGTGTGTGTGTGTGTGTAACTTTTTATGTCATAGGGGAGAAGATGAGTCAAAGTATTAACTTAAAGTACATATTGACCAGAAACACTAAGTCTGTACACAAAGTATCAGAGGAAACACACACACAAATAATAGAGAGATTCATGTATCATATCACAGTCAGAGAGGGTCAGAGGTCTGGGTACAGGTTCTCACGGCCCTCTCTCAGGGTCTCGCCGGAGAGATGTCTGCGTTCTCTGGGATTGGACTCCTCTTCCACGCTCACTGGGTGTTGACCTCACCCACTTCCATAGTCAGGGCCCATGCAGCAGGGCACGTCTCAAGGGGCCTCTCGAGTGCTGCCTACCACAGAGGCGTGAGGACCACAGCTGGGAGTGTCTCTCAGCAGAAGGGCCTTTCCAAGTTTTTTGTCTTCTCATTTTTGGACAAGGCCCTAAAATAGGGCGAGAGGAACACTGCTGTCTCCTCTCTCCTGCGTGGCTACGACCACTTCCGGTTCTTGCACTAGGGTGGGCAGGGAATAAAAGCAGGCTCTTACAGCTTGTGGCTTGTGATGGGCACCTGTTTTGCCTCTTCAGCGCTGATTTTTGATTAGCTCTATCTGCCAAGATTGTTTATGTACCTTGCAGTGTTGGGTGTAGTGTGCTGATGTCTTCTTGTGTAGGGTTTTTGTGCTGTCAGCTCATACGCCGCTCCCCCGCCCTTAGTCACTGGGTGAAGGGCCCCATGGTAGTTCTCACAGAACCTCTGTTCTGATGCAGAGCCAGGCATTGGGTAGGCACTGGGGACAGCGTTGAAGAGAGAGTAGGTGGAGTTACAGAACAGCCCTGCCTGGGCTACATGCTCTCTCGCTCTCTGCTCTCTCTCTCTCTCTGCGGTGTTCGCGTCTGTCCTAAGTAAACACTGCCAGCCAAGGGAGCTCTGAGCCAGGCTGCTTGTGCAAAGGAGGCTCAAGGAGCACTGGGAACAGCTCACCTGGAGCCCGAGGCCATGTTCTCCAATATTGAGTGAGTGAGAGAGAAAGGGAAGAGTAAGCATGATTTTCACAGAAATACTATAGTTCTTCTTAACAGTTACGTTGTTCTAAAAGCTCCTGCGTGCTGTCAGGTGCTGTCAAGTCTGCTCTGACTCATCGCGACCCTGGAACGAAACACAGCCTGCTCCTGCGCCATTTAGAGCCCATTGTCGCAGCCACTGCGCCAATCTGCCCGGTGGAGGGCCTTCCTCTTTTTTGTTGCCCCTCCACTTTTCCAAGCATGCGTCCTTTCCCACATACCAGCCCCTCCCGACAACACGGCTGAAGGACGCGCATGAAGTCTCGCCACCCTCGCTTCCCAGGCACGTCCTACTTGGACTTCTTCCAAGAAGGATTTGTTTGTCCTTTGGGTGGTCCATGGCACTCTCCAGGTCCTCTGCCACCACCACAGTTTGAGCCCACGGAATCTTCTCCAGTCTTCCTGTGCACACATGCATGTGCTCGGATCCTGAGAATTGTCATAGTTGGGCTGGGCTGACTCTCACTTGATTTACAGTGTGTCTGGGCTAGGATATTTTTATTCTCCACATGTGCTGGCCTGCTTCTGTTATCTCTACCATTTCTTCCTGCTTGCTGTTCCAGCACACCCTAGGTTTACCGAAACCAGGTCCTTCAAAAGTGCTGGTGAAACATTTACATGCAAATACCACCAGCAGAGCGGCCTGGTGTGATGGAGGCACAGGGGTGGAACACAGGGCTGTGGGGAGGAAGCTCCTAGGTGCTGCCCACTCATACTGCCAGCCAGATAAGGCCTGTGCAAATGGTGCAGGGAAGTCTGCCCTTGACCTTGACACGAAGGGGAAGGAGAGTCAAGATCAACAGCTCACAGCTGATTCCTATGCGATACGGAGGTTAGGCATGCCTCCTTGACACCAGCTGTGCCTCTCCCAGCACTCTGTCCTCGGCCTGCCGGCTCAGTAATGCACTACCGTGACCAAACAGAACTCATAGGACTCATCATTATGGGGATCAGGATCAGAAACCACTCCAGAGAGTTCATGGTCAGGATAGCTTATAGGCTGTGCCAACAGCTTCTCCCTGGCCCTTGGCCTCTTGGACTTCCAACCTTAACCCTGCTTGTGCAAGTGTTACTTATCTCTTTAGCAATACCACAAGTGCCCAGGGGCATCCCACTCCACCTCGGGAGTCTCCTGACCAAAGGGTTGGCACACCCACTGTGGTCACCATGCGCCGTGGTTTGGGGGCACCGCATCGTCGCACACCCATCTGGTTCTGTGGTTGCTGTTGTCCTGCTGCCGCTGCTGCCTTGCAGCTACCAGTGTCTCTGGTGCACAGCCTCTCTGTCGAGCTCCTGGGTCTAGGAGGTTCTCAGGGTCCATAGGATCTGTTCTGCTCCAGTCTTCATGGTGGTGGTCAAGTCCCCCACTTTCTGAGCCAAAGCTGACCAAAACGGGCTCTTATGAAGGTTCCCACATCTTGGTTGCATGGTCCCACCCACACAGGGGTGCTACGTACCTTGTCTGCATGAATTATCAAGCCATCCAATCCCCCTGGTGGGCCACAGGCACCTCATTTGCATAGCCCCACGCCCGTTCATTTGGTGGGAATGACAAGACGACAGTGAAAAAGGTTATTCTAGAGAAGTGATCTATTGCACGGCGGGGCTTTGCCTGACTTTCCAGAGGCCGACCTGGTTACGTGTCAGCATGTAATCATCCACACATCTCTGCATCCAGTCGATCTTTTATGTAATGAGCTGAGACCACCTGGTTTTGAATACACAGCATAAAATCTCAAGATTTCTTAAAACCGACTGTGGTAAGAACTCACTTCCTCTGACTTTCACTCCTCCTCAGTTGACTGGGAGGATTGCTTCATTCTCCAGGGGAACGAAACGCTGCTCTGTCACTGGGAAGATGTTAAGAACCTGTCCAGATATTGCAACACAGCGTAAAGAAATACTTCTGAGAGCCAAATGCAGCCAAAGAGTGGTTTAGAAACTGCTCCCACCTGTCCAAACTGAACGTTCCACCCACCAGCTCCCCTGGGGCATGTTGCTATCCTGTGAGCCCAGGAGACTAGGGTAGAATCCCGTGGACTCATGCTGGGCCACATGCCAGAGCGTCTGCACATACGTGCTGCTGTTCCCAGTACCCTGCAACTGTGTTTGAGGATTTTTATACTTGATAGAAGACAATACATTGTGCAGAAGTCGGGACTGTGATGTATTTGGCGAGTGTGGATTCTTCCTTGAGGCTTTGAAAGATCCGTGGTCGCGCCCGGCTCACACTGTTCGTGGTCATGTGCATCGCTGTGTTCTAGACGACTGCAACGAGGGGAGCATAGTTCGCTGTTCTGACGGAAAACCACTGTTCAGTGGTTTTCTTTTCTTTTTTTTTACTATATACTTTCCTGGTTATTTCCAATTTTTGTTTAATTTCCAGGAGACAGAGTTGATGGGGATAATGTTTGTCTTTATTTCCCCTTCCACTCCTGGCGTTCTGCAGGCACGAGCTGTTGGAGGCCCTTGTGCTGTCGGTCTCAGTGGCGTCACCGCCACCAGTGTTGCTCTTGTCTTCTCAGGGAGGGTCCCAGCGAGCTGCTGAGCGTCTGCCAGGTGAGGGGCAGAGGATGCAAGACCTCTCACAGCCAAGCTGGGCACTTCTGGTTACGCTCACCACAAACGCCTTTGGCTTTGCTGTAATTTGCCTTAGGAAAAATATTAGCAAATAGGTACGATGACGTGAGCAGCTACATCATTTTTTCTTTCTTGATTTCAAGGACGTATGCAGAAATTCACCTTTACATTTTTAATAAGTTCTCTGTGGTTTTAAGAGAAAGGAGTTTGGAGAAACTCTGATATCCGTTAAACGGCTGGAAGCCAGTGGCTTGGATATAGTATTTGGAAAGTCTGCTCGTATGATATGCTATTAACCCAGGGCCTGTTTTCTTCTTGTGGTTTCCTTTTTCAGGGCACCTTTGATGATTATTTGGAACTGTTTCTGCAATTTGGTTATGTGAGCCTTTTCTCCTGTGTGTACCCATTAGCAGCGGCCTTTGCTGTGTTAAATAACTTCACTGAAGTCAATTCAGATGCCTTAAAAATGTGCAGAGTCTTCAAACGTCCCTTCTCAGAACCTTCTGCCAGTATTGGTGTATGGCAGGTACGTATATGACACAGGAATTCACTCTTTCTTATATAAACAAATTAGACCATGTGATTGGGTTACCAGCCAGTGGGTGCCCGGGCAGGGGACCGAGGTGGGCTTGAAGAGAGATTGGGGACACTGGATTTCAAGTGCCCCTCCATCACAAGCTTGCAGCGTGCCCTCAGCTCTTTTTCTCTGTGTGACTTCTTGCACATTTCTTTGGGTGTCTCTTTTCTCCATTGACAAATTTGGCAGGGGGTTAAAATGTAATCTCTGAGAAAATTTTCAAATGTGAAACCCCAGCTTGGAGCTTAAGTCATCAGGGGGCAAAACCCCACCCAAACCAGCTTATCGAGTTGATTCTGACTCACGGCGGCCTGCAGCGCAGGGGAACTGCCCTAGTGGGATGCCAGGGCTGCCAGGGAAACTTCAGAACGGCAGACTGCTGGCCGCAGCTTTCTCCCACTGAGCAGCTGGTGGGATTAACCACTGTGCCCACTGTGCCACCACCATCTGTGACCACTGCACTCATTGTGCCACAACTGTGCCCATTGTGCCACCACCATGCCCACTGTGCCACCACTGCACCCATTGTGCTACCACTGTGCCCATGGTGCCATCATTGTGCCCACTGTGCCACCACTGCGATCACCACTGTGCCCCCACTGTGCTATCACTGTGCCACGCACTGCCACCACGGTGACCACTGTGCCACCACTGCCCACTGTGCCACCATTGTGCCCAGTGTGCCACCACTGTGATCACCACTGTGCCACCACTGTGCCACCAGGGCTCCTAAGGGCAAAGCAGCATGTGTTGATTGGCGCATGACCTGCTCAAGAAATTTATCCTATTGAATGAATTAAACAAATGCCTCTGAATTCAAGTCTGTGGTCTAAGTCTAGAGGGCAATATTTCTAACAGAAAACCGTCAGACCCTGGATTTGCAGATTGGAAAGCAATGGTGTAAACTTGGGAAGGGAAAGGATAGATTGGTAACTTTTCATTTGGAAATTATTTAAAATCTACAGAAAAGTTGTAAGAATAAGCACAGCACCCTCTGCCGAGCTTTGTCTGTTGTGAACAGTTTACTGCTTTCATCGCTTGTTCACTTTGTCTCTGTTTGACTTCCCTGCAAGGAGCTCAGGTGGTCTGGTGGGGTATATTTGGCCTTGTAACCCCAAGGTCAGCAGTCTGAGACCACCTTGGGAGTAGATGAAGCTGTCCACTCCCACAAAGATGTACTGCCCCAGAAACCCACTCTGTGGGGCCAACTGGGGTCAGAAGGGATTCCACGGCAGGGGGTTTGGTTATTTGATGTGATCTTCTGCACACACACACACACACACACACACAGACGGACACACAGGGACACACAGACAGACACTGACTGACTGACAGAGACAGGCAGGCAGAGACACAGAACACAGACACAGACAAAAGGACACACAGACACAGACAGGCAGACACAGGGCCAGATAGAGAGAAACAGACAGGCAGACACAGAGACAGACAGACACAGACATGCAGATACACATTGACAGACACAGGCACACAGAGACAGACTCCCAGACAGACAGACAGACAGACGCAGACAGGGACAGACATACACTGTTTTTCCTGAATCTTTGTAGGCTAAGCTACATTTATCATGGATCTTAATCTTTAAATTAAAAAAAAATAAAAAAAAATATATATATATATATATATCCTCCAGCTTTCAAAGAGCAATGGTAGTCTTTTACTTAACCACAGCATCATCTTTTACTTTAATAATTTGATTGATAATAGAATAATCTATTTGTATTTCAATTCTCAATGGGTCTAGTAATGCCCTTTTAGCACTTGTTTCTCCTCCTTCAGTGTAAGATCTAGTCTCAAGTCAGGCACCACGTTTAATTGTTTGACGCTCTAGTGTCCCAGAACCTGCAACATTCCTACAACCTTTCCAGATGTTTCATGACATTGACCATTTTAAAGAATACAGTTCTCTTTTTCTTTTATTTGAATTTTCCGATTTTCCCTTTTGCATAGATTCGGGTTACACATTTCTGGCACATGATTGTGTGTCTTTCCCCAAGCACTGTATCTGGAGGCTCGGGACGTACACCATCCCTTGTTTTTATCATGTTTTAATCATCTAGTCAAGGTGGTGCCCTGTTCTTCCCTTTTCTGCGCCTTTCACCCTTGCAGTTAGGCAGTCGAGGGATAGTTACAATTAGCCAAGCATGCAGTTAACCTGCTCCTCATCTAAACGCTACCTTGGGAGGAGCAGCATTCATCCATTGTGCTTGTTAATTTCTCCAATCCAAGAACAAGCAGCTCCCGCCACAGTGAAATGGCACTTGGCGTTCTGTTTGTAAGTAAAAGCCCTGCTCCTCCCGCATCCTCCATCCACCCAGTCATCCATTTGTCATTGGTAAGGACTCCTTGCCTTTGTTACTGTTTTCCTGTGGTTTACAGTCTATTACTGTTAGTTGTTTTGTTCAGATGTCTCAGATTTGGTAGTGGGACCCCTTTAAGGCAGCCCCTGCCTCTCTGGACACACCCTCGTCATGTACTGTCTGTTTCACACTTTCACACGTATTCTCTGGTGCAACACAGTGTCCTAGGCTTCGTTTTCATCTGTCTTTAAAAATAAAGCATAACTTTAAAGTAATTCTAATAATACATTGTGTACCTGAGGGAGAAACAACACCTTTTCAGTTACCCATGGAATATTCACAAAAAGTGACCATGTTAACCCAAAGAGAACCGTCCAAAACCCACTAAGTATAAATCGCATAGACCACATTTTCTAACAAATGAAGTCAAACCTAGTAACTTATAACAAACAAAATGCTCACATTCCCTAGAAATCAAAAATAAACTCTGAGTTAGGGAGCACTTGGGCCAAGAGGTAATCAAATTAGAAATTGCAGGATCCCTAGAGTATATACTATGTAAAATAATATCAGAAGTTGTGGGACACAGCTAGCGTAGAACTCACAGGACAATTTGTAACCTTAAAATACTAATACACAATAAGGAAAGTGAATCAGGCATCACGTGAATCAAAGCATTAAAAATAAATGGAAAGCAAGCCTCATACCTCATGCTAACATCCCAACTTCCAACAAAACCATAAAACTTTAGGTAGAAATAAAAGGGCGGGGGAGCTGCCAAGATCTCAGAGGAGGCAAAGAGTTCTTAGATTTGACACCAAAAGCAGGATTCATTAAAAAAAAAAAAAAATCACAGTAAATTGGACCTCACTAAAATGTTTCACGTTTATTCTGTGAAAGCCCATCTTAAGAAGATTAAAGAGAAAGCTACAGACTGGCAGGTAATATTTGCAAATCGTGTATTTGACAAAAGATTTGTACAAAGATTATAACAAGATCCTCCGAGCTCGACAGTGAAAATCAAACAATCCAAATAGAACAGGGGAAAGAGATGAGCAGACAGTTCACCAAAAGGATGTGCAAGCGGCATTCAAAGAAACACACGGTCAGATGCCCCACATGTTTGCTGCGAGGCCAGTGCAGATGAAAACCGCAAAGAGCCAGCCCTGCACACCCATCCAAATGTCTAGAATCACGACGGCACTGAGCTGGCAGGAAGACAGAGAATTTGGATCCTTCACATGGGACTGGTAGGTTGTGTGAAATGATTCTGCCATTCTGCAAAACAGTCTTTTGCAATCGCTTATAAAACTAAACGTACAAGTACTGTCTGATCCCACAAATGCTCACCTGGTCCCTTATCACACAGAAATGAAAAGCAACAGTCATGCAGTAATCTGTACATTGTGGCAACTCTGTGTCGTAAGCCAAACCTAGAACTAGCCCAGACGTCTTTGAAGAAGTAAATCATTACAAAATCTGTGGCCCATACATAACCGTGGAGTGAACGCCAAACTCCGCTGCTATTGAGTCGGTTTCAATTCACAGTACCATTCGGCAAAAAGAACTCAGATTCATAAGTCCTACTCATAAAATGGAAGAAACTAATGATATCCTAACAACTTAGAAGAAACAGCAAGGCCTAATACGGAGTAAAACATGCCAATCCCCTAAGGTTACCTACTGAATTATTCTATGCAACATTTTTGAACATTTTAGAAATAGACACCAATTTATGAGCTCTGAGGAGGCGGGGGTGTGCTCACCCAGGACAGTAGAATGTAGGGGTGCATCACTACATGCAGCATCCTGTATACAGGGATGGATACAGAAAACCACGTGATTGTATGGAACTTGAATACACACACGCTTGAGCACAAGTAAAAGCAGGGACATCTAAGATTAATGGATTGTATCAATATCAATAGGAGAAAAGAGAGGGGCTTTCTATTCCCAAAACGAGTTGCAGATTTGGAAGCCCCCAAGAGGCAGTTCTCCCCTGTCCCATAGGCAGGATCACTGTGATCAGAATGGACTCTGGTACGAGTATCGCCAGCAGTCTTTTGTGGTGCTGTAAACCAGTTGCCACTACGTTGGCTGCTACACGTAGGTGTCTTTGCTTCATAGGGATTTTCGGTGATTGATGTTTCAGAAGTAGGTCACCAGACTTTTCTGAGGTGCCTCCAGTTGCCTTGAACTTTGAACCTTTCAGTTAGCAGCCTGACTTACTGCTTTGCACAACCTGAGGACTCTGGTCTCACTGTGGCTTTGCAAAGTTTTACCAGGTACCCACTGGTCGAGATTCATGGGATTTCCTCTGTGCCACATCTTGCAACTGTGCATATTAATTTATAGTCATCTCAATGAAAGTTTCAGTTAAAGTGAAATCACACATCACCTTTACTTTGAAATGTTGTCCTAAAATTATTCAATGTGACAATGACAGATTGAACCAGTGGCATATTAAAAGATAAGAATGCCCGTGCTCATTGCTGGAGTTACTAATCGACCAACTCATTTGGGCAAGGGAAAGAAGAGTAAGTCTGAAAGCTTGAAAGGAGGAAATAAAACTACTTGGAGGGGATATGATCCTTGGATTCTGTGCCTAGGAGAACGCAGAGAAACAGCTGGAAGTTTACATAAAGAAGACATAGTAAGCTATACAATAAAGAAAAGTAAGCAGTTTTATTATATATAGGTAACCATTAGAAGATGCATGGAAGTAAAGGCTTTATTTATAATTGCAACAAAAGTGAAAAACCGTCTAAGAGTATGATTATCAACGTGTATGAATCTTACGAAGACCGCATTGAAATCTGGAACTTTGAACCCAAGGAAAGACAATGGCGAGTTTTGGGATAGTAATGGTGTAGGTGGCCTACCACAATCGTTCACTCCTTATGTCCACACTCTTAACAGTACATCCCTGCAACTCTTCCTCTCGGAGGGCTCCACAGAATCTCTGAGACCCTGTAGATCAGGGCCAACTCTATGACCTACTTTGCTGATACAAAGTGGTCAAAGTGCCTGGTGCCAATTCCTAGCTCAGACCTGAGGAGGCTGCGGCGTGTGCTTTCACTGTTCCTGGGGTCTCAGACTCCTCTGTGCAAACCCTAAAGATGCCAGTCATTTTAGCAGGCCGGGCTTCTTCAAAGGCCGAATAACAGAGGCTTGGCTTTTTAGTCTGCATCACATGAACATTAACCAGTACTGGTGGCATCGCTTGGGAGGTACGGGGCTACAAGCCACACCTGGGTGACACTCCCTGAGTGACAACAAAATGACCACCCATAAAACTGTGCCATGTCTCTGCATAATTTTATAATTTAAAAAAATCCGTGTAGTATAGTAACCAAAATGTCAGAAGCTCAGTGTATACACGTGTTTGTTTCTGAACCTTCACTACATGTACCTTGGATATACTATCCGGAGGGACCAGGTCCCAGAAAAGCACACGACGCCTGGTCAGTGAGAGGAAGACCGTCAACCAGGTGGATGGCTTGACACAGTGGTTGCAACAATGTGCGTCAGCACGATTGTCAGGGTGGCCCAGGTCAGGGGTTGGGGGTGGGGGGCAGTGTTCTGTTTGGTTGTCACAGGGTTGCTGTGTGTTGGCACCAACTCCGTGGTATCCAGTCTGAGCTGCCATGACCACGCCGTCACAAGGACACGTGATCTCGTGCACATGCTACGAACATGAGCTATGGCTCTCATCACTGCTGGGGTCTTCACTGCTGCCCGTGGCGGCAGTTTCCGGAGTGTTAGCTCCAGTGTTGTGGTCCTTGGTATTTTGAGCCTCTATTACGAATTCTTCTTGAGAATGAAATAGGAAAGGGAAAAGGAAGGAAAACACAAAAGGTTTCTGCTGTTAACAAAAATAAAAAGTGCTCTGACTCACAATGTCATAATTCAACATGGAAAGGTTTTATGAGCCAGGTTTGTTTGTTTTTTAAGCTGGTATCTATATCATCTAAGAATTATAACATTGAAGCAATCTACAACTGTGTCTATCACATATTCTGCGATTAACATGGAGAATACACCCCAGGAGGAATTCTGTGTAGGCTGGTATGGGTGGAGGTTCCTGGGGGTGGGAGAGCAGCACCCTGGGGGACCCACTGATCATCCTCATTGGATGAGTGGGTCAGTGTTGATCTACCAACAGGACAGTCACACAAAGTCCACTCTCTGCAGTCCTCTTCCTCTTTGCTTGTGGGGCTTTTACATCAGCAGTCTGACGGCAGAGTCCCTTTAGAAGGTGAATAAAGTGATTTTCACAGGATTTTCTTCCAGGAGGGCTTTGCAAGTCCCTGGCCATCTCTGTGGGAGAAGATAATGCTCTCCTCCGGGAAACTCAATCCAGAGATGTCTAGAATACCAGTACATTCTACCAGTATCATGTTTTCAGCCAAAGAGGATCATAGCATGACAGAGAAAACGGTTAAAATGTACTTGGAATGTTTAGAAACAGAGACTTTCCTTGCCATCCCCATTTGCTTTTAGGTCCGAAGCACGAGGAGGAGGACTTCTGGAAACAGTCACTGCAGTTTGTTGTTTCACGTTTCTTCTCCCTCTTTCTCTTCTCTCAGTTGGCCTTTGAGACAATGAGTGTTATATCTGTGGTCACCAACTGCGCTCTGATCGGAATGTCCCCTCAAGTGAACTCAGTCTTTCCAGATTCAAAAGTGGACCTAATTCTGATTGTCATCGCCATCGAGGTAAGTGAAAGCTGAAATCAGTTTTGAATTGCTTCCATACCAAATACCTCTGTTATTCTAAAGCGGCAGTATCACTCGTGGTTGGTGCCTGGCAATTCGGCAACCTGCATTGACTGGTGAGAAATCAAAGCAGTTCAGCCGAGGGTGGAGGCTGGGAATTCCTGCCTGTTGCCCTGGTCTGCCGAACAGTCACTGTGACATCAGTGAGCATATGACTGTCAGCTAGTGAGCAATCCTGCCCAGCGATGTGTAGTCATCCTGCTGGAAATGGGTTCTATTGATCGAAGGTTCAATGTGTATTTTAAGTCGGGGCGGGGGCAAATGTCACTTCTGCTCTCCTAAGCAAATAGCCCCAAGAAATACCTTTGAGAAGAATTGGAGTCTCATTTGCTGCCACTTTAAAATTCATTGTGGGACACTCTTAATTCTCCAAAATGTAAAGCGCGGGGTGATACAAGGTCACACAGAGTACCAACCACTGATGTGTGCTCTTCACCTCCTAATTTTGTGTTTCATTTGTCCACACATGGATTCCTATAACCTCCTGACTGTTAAGTACTGGCCATTTGGCATATCTGTAGGAATATTTTGCTGCCTGTGGTCCAAATTGTCAGGAAGATTGTGGCTCCTTATTTTCAGTTATTTTGAAAGTGTAACTGTTGCAGGGGGACTTTGTTAGAGGTAGAAGTTAGAAGCATTGTTTAAATAGACCAATGATGGACATGCCCAGGGGCTCGGCACTCATAAAAAAAAAATGAAATCATATCTTGTGTCAGTCTGTTGTTGGCTAAATAGTATATTTTGCATTGCTCCTTTTTTAAAAACTCTGTTTGCATATTTGATGGGATTTTGCCTTCCTGGTAAATGATATACCTGGAATATGTGTTTTGAAGAGTCATTGTAGAAGGCAGTTGGAAGGAAAGGGCAAGACACCCTGGTGTCCACACCAGGAAGGGCCTGGTGTCCACACAGCACTGTTGCTCTCCGAGAGGAAGCCATTTCACGAGACAGGTGCTGCAGGGCAGGCGAGAGACTGGATCCGGTCCAACAAAAATAACCCTGTCTCCTTGAAGGAGAAAGGAAGGAGGGGACCTTCCTACATTAGGAAAAAGAGAGGTGAGAAAGGATCGTTCATGATCTCGTATGACGTTATGGGGTGCCAGCGACTCGGCATCATTCTGCGTTCTGCTCTGGTGGGTGGTGGTCACTGTGTTTATGCTTTGGGGACTGACAACACAAGGGGACAATTTATCTGCTTTTTCCTGGGACTCAAAAGAGCAAGCATCTCTCTGTCATTATTCTTTACCAAACACTCTTGTTCTCTGACCTAAAATCACAAACATGCTGTGTTCCTTTTAACTGCTAAGGAAACTTCCCAAACGAATCCGAAGGCAGCAATTCCTCGTCCACTCTTACCCGTTTCACCATGGGTCTAGGCCACATTTTCCTGGTGGTCGCTGGTGTCCATCAACAGTCATCGTGAATTTCTGAAGGGAAACAACGACAAGCCCATTCATCACAGTATCTAACAACATTGCAAATCTGATGAGCAAACACTGATAAAATGCACAGAGGCCTGGTGGTTCACGGAGGGGGCCTGATGCAACCTCACTGGCAGATACAAGTGGGTCTGCTTTAAAATCTGGGGTGTGGAATAGGACTTTGGAGCGCTCTTTCAAAGCTGATGTATTACCTAAGGAGCTGAGAGAAAGGAAAATCCCATTAGCTTTTAATTCTCTCTTTTCCATGAACTTTTTCCCCCTCAGAAACACATCTTCAATGGTGAGTTGGGATTGTCCATTTCAGGGCATCAGTTTTGTATTCAACAGTCTAAACTGCTGATCAGCCCCACCCCACCACCCCACCCCCCGTCCATGCCCTGAAGTGTGTTGTGGCGTCCACGCCCTGAAGTGTGTTGTGGCGTCAATGTGTGTGTGTTCAGTGAGGCACAGTCTCCGTTGTGTGCATGTACCGCCGCCTCTTTATCCATCTTCTGCTGGTGGGCCGTCAGGTGGTTTCCATCGTCTTGCTCTTGTGCACAGCGCTGCGGGGAGCAGGGGTGTGCAGAGGTCTGTCTGTGTTAGGCCTTCGACTTCTTTATACGCCCCGAGAACTTCCTGAGGAGTTCATCTCGAAGCAGCAGACTGTTTACAAGGGGCAGTTGTTCCCACGCTGGTGGAGAGTTCCTGCTGAAAACGACTCCTGGGAATGTCGCTGGGGGACCTGGCCACCTCCGGAGGAGTCCACAGACCCACAGGACTTGGCTACTTCCAGTCTGCTGTGACACAGAAGTGTAAGGTATTACTTCTGTCCAAGTTCATGCACAAGGCCGAAACCTCAGCCGGCGTGGTTGCCGGGAGCCTTCAGGTTGATTTCCACTCAAAGCAACCTGTGCGACAGAGTAGAATGGCCCCACAGGGCTTTGGGTGTATTTATGTCCTGGTTGCTGAGAATGTGCCAGTTCAAGAGGCAAGTGAGTGATACTGATGCCGTTCTTCAAGCTGGAGTGAACTTCCCAGTTGTTCCTTCTGCATTAACATAAGCACCAGGCTCCTTCTAATCTTTCAAGTTACCACACTTGATTTTACCAACAGGCCGAGAAGCAATCTTTCAAGTTACTGACCTCAATTTGATCCCATAGAGATGAAAATGACCAAAAGAACATCATAACGATTGAGGCAGGTTTTTCTTTTTTACTGTTTTGCTTAAATTATTTTGATTTTCATATCTCACACTGACCGCTGTCTCCCTTCCCCCATGGTTTCTGTTGTCCGTCCTCCTGAGGAAGGGGTGTGTGTGGTTATGCATCAATCATTGTAGTCTGTTCTGTTCCTCCCTTCCTGCCACCCCCCCCACCCCCCCCACCCCCCCGCATCCCCCAATGTGGTCTTAAAGACTTGAAGGTAAACAAGCGGCCATCTAGCTGAGAAGCAACAAAGCCCACATGGAAAAAACACACCAGCCTGTGTGAGCACGAGGTGCGGAAGAGATAAGTTATCAGGCATCAAAGAACAAAAAATCAAATCATTGTGTGCTCTCCTCCCCCATATGATCACTGAAGACGTGTGCATAAGCAAATGTGGTGAAGAAAGCTGATGGTGCCCAGCTATCCAAAGATATAGCATCTGGGGTCTTAAAGGCTTGAAGGTAAACAAGCGGCCATCTAGCTGAGAAGCAACAAAGCCCACATGGAAGAAGCACACCAGCCTGTGTGATCACAAGGTGTCGAAGGGATCAGGTATCAGGTATCAGGTCTCAGGTATCAAAGAACAAAAAAATCATATCATTGTTAATGACAGGGGGAATGCGGAGTGGGGAGCCAAAGCCCATCTATAGGCCACTGGATACCCCTTTACTGAAGAGTTGTGGGGAGGAGATGAGCCAGTCAGGGTGCAGTGTAGCAATGATGAAACATACAACTTTCCTCTAGTTCTTTAATGCTTCCTCCCCGCTTTCATGATCCCAATTCTACCTTACAAATCTGGCTAGACCACAGGATGTACATTGGTACAGATAGGAACTGGAAACACAGGGAATCCAGGACAGATAAATCCCTCGGGACCAATAATGAGAGTAGCGATACCAGGGGGAGAGAAAGTGGGAACTGATCACAGTGATATACATGTAACCCCTCCCTGAGGGACGGACAACAGAAAAGTGGGTGAAGGGAGACATTGGACATGAAAAAATAGTAATAATTTATAAATTATTAAGGGTTTGTGAAGGAGGGAGGGTGGGGGAAGCAGGGGGGAAAATGAGCTGATACCAAGGGCTCAAGTAGAAAGAAAATGTTTTGAAAATGATAATGGCCACAACTGTAGAAATGTGCTTGATGTAGAAATGTGCTTGACACAATGGATGTATGGTTGCATTGTGATGCGTAGTACAAACCCCCAATAAAATGATTTACAAAAAAAAACCAAACCCAGATGTTATATCTTTTGATAGCCAGGCACCATCAGCTTTCTTCACCACATTTGCTCATGCACCCATTTGTCTTCTGTGATGGTGCTGTGAGGGTGAGCATCACAGAATGCCAAATTGTTAGAACAAAGTGTCCTTGCATTGAGGGAGGGCTTGAGGAGAAGCCCAAAGTCCGTCTGTTTCCTCAATGTGTTACCATATAAATATATGTATCTAGGCCTCTGTTTCCTTTTACCTTCTTCTGCCTCGTAATGATTCCTCTCACCTAGATTGCTGTTGTTCCAACTCCCCCAGGACCTCTGCCTCCCCTCAGGTCCCTCCAGACCAGCGGTCCCATGGCTTTCTCCTCGAGCTTGCTTCCCATGCCTGTCTTACATCGGCAGGAAAACCAACAATAACGGAGACAAAACAAAATGAGAACAAAAGATTGAAGATAGAAAAAGAAAAAGTAATAACTAGCAAAAAACCCCAAAAATGCATACAGAATTCCAGGTCTGTCCGCTGACCTTTATAACTGCCTCCCCACTGGTCCTGGGGGGATTCTGGGAGCTGCCTCTCCTAGCCTGAAGCCTATTTTGGGGGTTCATTGGGCTTTGTGACTTGCCTTTGCTCCTGTTGCTGATCTGTTATGTTCCCTCCTTGGTGCACCCCGCTGTCGGGGTTCAGGCTGGACTAACTACTCGCCGTGTGTCCCCAGTGCTGTCCTCTGCCTCGGGGTGCTCCAGCGAGGGGACGCTGTGTCTCGAGCTGTTGTTGGCCCTGCAGTCCTCTCTGTGCCGTAGCAGCTCTGAAGGCAGAGTTTTTAAATGAATTTAGGCTATCATTTGGTTGTAAGGAGACTTCAAGGCATAGTTTTGGTTTAAAGTTGGCTGTAATTTTTACAGAAGTGAACTTTCAGGTCAGCAGTTCAAAACCACTAGCCATTCCATGGGAGAAAGAAGTGCCTTCTACTCCCATACAGAGTTACAGCCTC